GGGTAAGTGGTAAGTGGGCCAGGGGGTTGTATAAGGGGTGGGGGGTGTCTGGGACGGGGAAAGGGGGGGTGTTGGATAGGCGTGGGACCCCAGGGGACCTGTCAGGGGACAGGGAGCAGGGGGGTTGGATAGGGGGTGGAGTCCTGGGGGGTGGTTAGGGGCAGGGGGTCACAAGATGGGGTGGTTAGGCGAGGGGGTGGTTAGGCAACAAGGAGCGAAGGGGGGGTTGGATGGGTCAGGGATTCTGAGGGGGGCAGTCAGGGGGCTGGAAGTGGGAGGGGGCAGATAGGGGTTGGGGGCCAGGCTGTTTGGGGAGGCACAGCCTTCCCTACCCAGCCCTCCATACAGCTCTGCAACCCCAATGTGGCCCTCGGGCCAAAAAGTTTGCCCACCCCAGTCTACACTGAAGTGTTACAGCCATGTCACTGTGGTTTTTTAAGCATACAGACAAGCGCTACGTTTATATCCCAAATACTGGATGTTTGGCATCGTTCTGTATCATAAAATCAACTTAATGTATTCATTCACAGGCTCAGAAAACACCTTGTCAAAGGGTTAAAACGTTTGCCACGAGACTAATTTTTTCTCAAAGTACTGTGTAACTCACCGATTTCTTATTAAGCTGGCTGCTGTCATAGCCAGTGGTAACATCCCGTACGTGTAATATACCATAAGCGCCACAAGACTTTGGATACGATTTTGGGAAATCAAAATTCCGAAGCTTTTCGAATACCCTTTTGATAGTAGGAGGTTCATAGCACAAGAAATAGGAGGTCTTTGAAATGTGATATCCATACCTACAAGGAAAAATATTATTTTAATTACGAGAGTCACCGTCTTCTGCACACTAAGTCTACAGAGTGATCAGTGATTCAGAACATGGTTCTCCATATTCATGAGCATGCACACAGTATTATGCAGACCCTGGATCTTTCAAGCAGATTTCACTGCATTTTTTGAAAACCAAGCTTCCTTTTTAGAATATTTCAAGGCCTTCTGATTTTAAAAGATAGCTTAGACAATGTAAAATGATTCACGATGGTCTCAGCCTGTTTGCAAACCCAAAACCACTGAACTTCACCAATTCACCCTAAAGGGAGGGTCAGTAATGAAGGACAATAATGCAAGTAACCCTTCATAGTCACAGAAATGGACTGAATCCAGTTGAGAAAAGGACTTGAAACTCATGCCACTAAAAATACAAGATCCCCATTTGGAGCCTGAAAAATTGTGCCTGGAGGGGAGACCTGATCCGATGCCTACCTCCATGTTGCTATCCCTGGTCTGGATCCATAAGCCTTCTCTATTCTTCCTTGGGCCCCCAGCCTCCACACACTCCTCTAACTGCTCCTTTCTGGACCCACAGAGAAGCCTAATTCTTGCCACATCACTTCTTCCTCACCGTCTACTACAGTCTCCTCCATTTTCCCCACTGTGCCTTTGGAAAGACACTGTAAATTTCCTACCTCTGTTGCCCCTTGCCAGTACTCTCCAAACCTGCTCTGTGCTGAGTTAGTCCTGCCACAGTCTACACGTGACGGAGTGAACTCAGTCCAGCAGCAGTCAGAACAGTGGCCAGAAGCAGCACTGTGATGGGAGATATTTCAAACAAAGGGTAATCCACAGGCCATAGCAAAGACAGCAACTTGATTTTCAAATTAAACAGATGACTACCACGTCCTTTTTAGACCAATGTGTTTATACTGCTCCTAGCATAACAGAGCCTCAAGCAGGACTGGGTATATGGGAAAAGTAAGATACTCGTGAAACGTTGTAGGGAACCAAATATTGATACAAACCCAGAATTTCAGATCTTGAAACAAAAAATGCGTCAGTTTCCCTGGGATTTAACTGCAAATTCCAAAGTTTTCAATTATTCCTTTAAAGTGGTCACTGTATGTGATAAACCTTAGCTCGCCATAGGGTAGTGCCTAACTAATCCAAATCAAACTCTTTCAATCTAACTAGCAAACACTTCAAATAAAGAGGTATTTTCTTAGCACCCCCCCAGAGTATTTTTTTTACATTTCTATAGCATCTTTAAACCCTGATAGGATGGGAAATTATGGAACAAAATGGAGATGGAGAGGATACACAGGGAGGAAAGAACCAAACATAGCAAGACAGATGCTGGACTGGAATCCCAAGGGCAAAAAGACGATGAGGTAAACCAAGGACAACTTAGAAAAGCACAATGAAGGAGAACCGAATGCTATTAAAATGACATGGGCAGAAGCTATGCCTGCAGCAAGAGACTGTCAAAGATGGAAGGCAGCAATGAAGGTCCTGTGGTCCGCATGGAATAAAAAGGCATAAGTCAAGTTAGTTTACACTCCACGCAGTTTACAAAGATATACGCAGAGCACCACTAAAATACAGAAGGGAGGATAACCAACACAACCTAACAGTGGGAGAAGAAATCATTTTTTCTCAGGACAGACCCAGGGCAAACCTCTTTCTTACACAACTTTTTAAGATGCCAATTCAGAGCTGACCAGGCTTCCTCCATTCTTACGGACTATCCTCCAACGGGACCCATATGCAATTCTGTATCTACCTCAAGGACAGGAAGAGTTGAAGTGACCCAGAGAGGTTTTTAAACTGTGATTCCAGCAAGTCAAGGCATTTTATATCTAATGCTTTTCACTAAAACCATCCTTCAGTAAGGTTAAAGGAACCCACACTGTAAAGACTAATCAGATCTAATTACAAGTAGTTAACTTAAAAAAAAAAAAAAAAGCGTGTCCCAAGAACACTTCTTTTAGAATAAGTTTTCAGATGCAGAGCTCATTGTTAATTTTAAAAACCTTGTGATTTTCTGGAAATCACGAATATACTCTAAATATGCCATTGTATTTAGTCCCTCCACACCTTTTGATTCTGCCTGGACTTCTATACTTCATTTGCCCTCCCTCCTTAAACACAACATGAAAAGAACCTCAACGAGAGGTCAGAACTTCTTTTGCAAGATGTTTAAACAAGCAAAAATTAGTAGGTAGAAGAGTATAATTTAACTCATTTAACAGTAGATTGACTAAGATGACAATTAACTAAAAACACAAGGACTCTTTCTGATATTTATTCTATCAGCCAAGTTTTTATATCCTCCCCTTTTCCCCCTCCTAATCACCATGTTATCTGTATCAAACAGTTGACAGGCATCGTATTTCTCTGAACAGTGCATACACATTTAATGTACATTAATACCATATAAATGTAAACTGGATTAATGTTTTATTTTGACTTATTTTGTACAGAAGAAAATGTGTCCTATTAGCAAGTGACAGATACTGTTCTGATTTTGATAGTGCTTAGGAAATTATGTTTGATTACGCAAAGCTCAGAAAAGAAATCAAAGGAAAGTAGAGCATGTTAAAAAACAACTTACATTTCATATATTTCAGTTAGTTGCTGTGCCAATGTTAAGTTCTTGGTTTCCAGGTAAGATGCCATTTCAGCTATAACCACAGCTGCACTCACGCCATCCTTATCCAACACTGATGTGCCACACATGAAACCTGACAATCACAAGACTAGTGTTCAGAGCAGTTCTCTCCATAGATTTCCATTTGTTTTACTCGGATGAAGTGTTAAACTTCAGATGCCCTTCGTGCACACAAGACTAAACACGTGTCCAACTGCTGCCACTCTATGTATATGCTACACCCATCTACCCAGTATGCTAGCCAGCCTAAGAGTCATGGGGGAGGGAAGATGTATGGAACAACCTATCGGTTTCAGGTAGACAGAAGCCTATAACCTTACCATGCTATGTTACAATCCCCCTCAGATCTCACACACTAAGCAGGGTTAGTTTGAGCAAGTACACTTGTGTGCTGCAGGGAATGTCGCCAGTGATTTAGTAAGCAGCACTAGTCCCACAAATCAATCATGAATCAATGCCCCGCAGTGCTGCCAGATGTGTAATCTTTTGGAGGACATCTAAAATCAAGGTCTCAACTCCTTGCAGTTGTTAAAGATCCCTCTACATTTTATGTAAAATCAGGGATGTGCAATTCAATTTGGATAATTGCAATCTGCTTCCCTAAACTCCACTTTCACTTTTAATTAGATCTACTTCCTGTGCTAAACTGATATGTTACTATGTGCTGCTAATCAGCTGCCATGTTCCATTTAAGAGGTGGATGAATTTCCATAGCTGACGTGCACCCTATGTAGTCCTTATCTACCTCTAAGGGTTATCAACCGGCTTTGTGAAGTGCTCAGAGAGCCTCAGACGAAAGGTACTATAGAAGAATTGCCAACTATAAAGGGATTATAAATTACCTAACAGAAAGTTAACAGTGTTTTAGAGATGTTATAGCTGTGTTGGCCCCAGGATATTAGAGAGAAAAGATGACAGAAAAGCATTTGAGTTACACAGACTCTTCTTCAGGTCCATCTCCATGTAGCTTCTCTCTTTCACCAACAGAAGTTCGTCCAATAAAAGAGATTATCTCACCCACCTTGTCTCTCTAGTATTTCCATGGAAGATAGGTCTATCAATGGCTATTACCCAGGGTTGGCAGGGATGGTGTCCCAACCTCTGTTTGCCAGAAGCTGGGAATGGGCAACAGGGGATGGATCACTTGATGATTACCTGTCCTATTCATTCCCTCTGGGGCATCTGTCAGAAGACAGAGTACTGGGCTAGATGGACCTTTGGTCTGACCCAGTATGGCCATTCTTATGTTTTAAAGAGTGCTTTACAAACATTGTTACTCTGCAGTCTGCTATTCATTGGAACCTTAGATAAGCTTTTGGAAGGAATACTCCCTTCAGCTTATTTGAAAATACCAGGCATTAACCAAACACTAAACGATTATTGTGTAGAAAAAAAATACGCCACCTCCCCGCCCGATTACCACGAGCGGGCTACTTCATAACTGTACTCTACTGGGTTTCTTGCACCTTGCTCTGAAGCATTTGGTACTGGCCACGGTTGGAGATGGGATACTAGACTACATGGATCACTAATATGAGCCAGTATGTAGGAATTTCCAAAGTAAAGTGGACCCTGCAATGGAGACAGGAACTTAACACAAGGATGCACCGGTATGGAGCTTTAGTTGAGCTGGCAGTTAGTTATGTACTGTTGGGTACAGTTAGTTCTGGGAGGATACATCAATTGTCAGACACTACAAATTTCTAAAGTCCTCTCAAAGGACTGTGTTAAGTGATGGTATCTGAACATATCTGGCAAGTAGATTAATTTACTTTTCAGTAAGGTGATCAAAAATAGAGTCAAGCAAAAAAGTTTGGTTTGGTAAGCAAAAAGTTTTAAAAAAGCAAAGCAAAGCAAAAATTCAACATCCATTACAGAGAATGTTATCAAGTGAACGGAAGACTGGACATTAACTCAATCTGGTCCATCAGGATTCTGTATGAATGCTACAGATCTTCCGATTGTCTTGTTAGAAGTTTAAACAGTGCCACAATCCTCCACTGTGACTCAACGAGGAGCATCCACACAGCATTTGATATGACAGTGACTGCCATTCTGTTAACTAATGTTGACAACAACATGCAGTTCAACAAAATGCAAAGAGGAAAACTAAAGAGAAACAAATCCTACACGATTCCTTGTCATAACCAAGGTACATTAGCACAGAAAATATTGTTTACTAGTGTTCCACATTAAGATATTTTAGAATATATTATTGTACATACCAATAGACTCTTCAAACGCAAAAAGAACTTCTTTCCCATTGTCTAGGAGATCTTTTACTCTACTTCCAATCCATTTAAAACCAGGCAGTGTTTCCTGAAAAATGAAGAGGCCACGCTGTAAAAGCTACTTTTTCAATACAACAGTATCATGGAACACGGGGAATATTTGCTGCTTTCACATAAAAATAACACCTTTCACCCCCAGATACTTTCTTGTAAGAAGTCTTAAGTATGAGGCCTGGAATGTCAGAAAACCCAAAAAGGTAAAATGATGCAAAAGGACCTCATGATCAACAGGACCAAAGAATGCTGGTAAAATCAAACAAACATAAGAATGGCCAGTGGTCCATCTAGCCCAGTGCCAGAGGCTTCAGAGGGAATGAACAGAACAAGGCAATTTATCAAGTGACCCATCCTGTTGACCAGTCCCAGCTTCTGGCTATCAGAGTTTTAGGGACAACCAGAGCATGGTGTTGCATCCCTGATCATCTTGGCTAATAGCCATTAATGGACCTATTCACCAGGAACTTATTTAATTCTTTTTTGAACCCCATTTATACTTTTGGCCTTCACAAAATCTCTTGGCAACAAGTTCCACAGTTGACTGTGCGTTGTGTGAAGTACTTCCTTATGTTTGTTTTAAACCTGCTGCGACTTAATTTCCACTGGGTGACCCCTGGGTTCTTGTGTTAGATACAACTAACACTTCCTTATTCACTTCTCCACACCATTCATGATTTTATAGACCTCTCTCATACCTGCACCCTTAGTCATCGCTTTTATAAGATGAACAGTCCCAGTCTTTTTAATCTTCCCTCATACAGAAGCTCTTCCATACACCTAATCATCTCTCTCTCTCGATCTTTTTTGAGATGGGGTGACCAGAACTGCATGCAATATTCAAGGTGTGGATGTACCATGGATTTGTATAGAGGCAATATGATATTTTCTGTCTTATTATCTATCCCTTTCCTAATGATTCCCAACATCCTGTTCACTTTTTTGACTGCTGCTACACACTGAGCGGATGTTTTCAGAGAACTATGCACAATGATTCCTAGATCTCTTTCTTGAGTGGTAACACCTAATCCAGACCCCATCATTTTGTATGTATAGTTGGGATTATGTTTTCCAGTATGATTACATTACATTTATCAACATTGAATTTCATCTGCCATTTTATCACCTAGTCACCCATTTTAGTGAGATTACTTCGTAAGGCTTGGCAGTCAACTTTGAACAATTTTCTTGAATAATTTTGTATTTTCTGCAAGCTTTGCCAACTCACTCTTTACCCCTTTTTTCAGCTCATAATTATGAATATATTGACTGGCACAGGTCCCAGTATAGATAATTGGGGGACCCCGCTATTTACCTTTCTCCATTGTGAAACATGACCATTTATTCCCACCTACCCTTTTATTTCCTACCTTTTAACCAATTACTGATCCATGAGAAAACTTTCCCTTTTATCCCAGGACTGCCTACTTTGCTTAAGAGCCTTGGTGAAGGACCCTGTCAAACACTTTCTGAAAATCCAAATACACTATATCCACTGGATCACCCTTGTCCATGTTTGTTAACCCCTTCAGAGAATTCTAATAGATTGGTGAGGCATGATTTTCTTTTACAAAAGCTGTGCTGACTCTTCCAACATATCTGACACATAGGTGAAAAACAATAATTCTGTTCTTTACTACAGTTTCAACCAATTTGCCTGGTACTGAATGTAGGCTTATTGGTTTGTAATTGCCAGGATCCGCTCCGGAGCTTTTTTTAAATTCGGTGTTACATTAGCTATCCTTTCAGCCTCTGGTACAGAGGCTGAATTAAGCAATAGGTTACATACCTGAGTTCCTTCAGAACTCTTGGGTAAGCCATCTGGTCCTGGTGACTGTTTAAGTTATCAGTTTGTTCCAAACCCCACTCTATGGGCACCTCAATCTGGAACAGTTCCTAGGATTTATCACCTAAAAAAAATGGCTGAGGTGTGAGAATCTCCCTATATCTTTGGCCTTAACTGCAGATGCAAATAATTCATTTAGCTTCTCTGCAACAGCCTTATTTTCTTTGAGTGTTCCTTTAGCACCTCCATCAACCAATGGCCCCACTGACGGGCAAGATTCCTGCTTCTGATGTACTTAAAGTTTTTGCTGTTAGTTTTTGTCCTTAGCTAGTTGCTCTTCAAATTCTTTCTTGGCCTGCCTCATTATACTTTTATACTTGATTTGCCAGAGTTTATGCTCCTTTCTAAAGCTAAGATTAAGATCAATAAGAGACCCCAATCCAAGCTGTCATGTCAATTAACCATGCTTAAACCCAGCAAAATCTGTTTAAACCCAGCAAATAAAGAGGCCAACACACTCAGTTTCGATTACGAATCTAAGGCACAGTGTTTCAGAATAGCATTCACTACTGCATACGTAAGCAAACACAAAAATAAATACTTGCTATAGCCCCCCCAAAAAATATTTAGCTCTTATGAGGAGCCTGGTGGAACAAGAGCTGGCAAACATGCACAATAGAAAGCTAAATTTGTTAGTCTCTAAGGTGCCACAAGTACTCCTGTTCTTTTTGCGGATACAGACTAACACGGCTGCTACTCTGAAACAATAGAAAGCTAAAATCTCCTTTTAAGAGATCTGACAGATGTATAAGATTAACAGAAGGACCAGTGGTAATGATATAGTAGCAGTTCTCGGTGAGAGAAATGTTATTCTCTACGTACAAAAAGGAAAAATTCTGTATCATGACTGATATTGAAGGATAAAAATTTCAAACCAGATAATTTCTTTCAAGAGTTGAAAAATACTAAAGACTGGTCATATATATTTCTAGAATCAATATTTTCCCAACTCAAAATACAGTATTTAGTAACAGACTCCAGAATTTTCACTAGAGGGCAACAAAACTTAAGTTGATTAATAGCCCAATAGTCCAATCATTTTATACATTTTTTAGGATTTTTTTGCTCTTCATTGTTTGGAAAAATTGATAGAAAAACCCTTCCAGGGTTTTCATATAGTCTCAACTGATAACTATATAAAACAAGACCTGACTCTTATTTAGTATATTATGTCAAACCTGTTTTTTATGTGCTTGTATTTTTTATGTGCCTGCTGATATTCACAGAGCTCTAGGAATCTGAGCAAGATCCATTGTTGGTGTAGGATCTACAAGGAAAGTTGTTCCCTTCACAGCACCCCCACATTTTTTTGATTTAGTCCTTGAGGAAGTGACACAAAATAAAAGGTATTTATACTGTAGAAGATTCCTAATCAAGTTATGACAATTTTTAACTAAAATCTAGTTCAAAAACCTCACGTGCCAAATTAAAATGCAAGTACTGTTCAAGTCAATTTAAACCCCACTGAGTAGGTTTCATGTCATAGATCTAAGGAGGCAACAGTTTTTGCAGTATGCACTCTGGAAATGCCACAGCTTCTCTCCTTCACCCAATGCAATCAAAAGGGACAAAGCTTTGAGTTATTAGACCCATTTTAGACCTAAAAATTAACCTTGCAATTCTTTAAGGCTAGGGGGCATCACACTGCCTCAAGACCACCTCCCAGCTCTTCAGAGACAGACATTACAGTCTGCATACTCTGCAACATGGATTAGCAGGCACAGCACATGCTAATCTGCAAGGTAGACAGATGAGATCTAATGGGTAAACTGGCAGTGCCAGAAGAAACATTGAGTAAAAGTCCTCAGGCAACAGCAGCAAAGAGTAATTTGTGTCTGGACTTTTCTGGAGGTGGAGGTAATGAGGCTACACAAAAACGTGTAGCAATCAGTTATGATAGCAATGGCTATTATATTCTTCCTGAATAGAACACCTGAGGATTATAACACACACAAGCCACCCTTACTTCAAAGTGAAATCCTTCTTTAAGTGCAATCGCCTTCAGAATTTTAGAGGAGACTGTGGTTGCTAACATGTAAACGTTCTTCACATCAGCTTCTCTGGAACCGTTCGCCTTCCAGCTCCTGAACATCCACCACCCAAACAAAGCTGCCAGCTCGTTGCCGGTGAACACTTTCCAACGACCACTGCAAACAGGATGGAAACAACATCAAACTGTTCCTTCAAGTTTCTCAGGAGCCTGCATTAAGATTCAAAGACTGTACAACATATTCTGCAACCACTGGAACAGTGAACAATCGAATAGGTCATTCGACCCTGAAAAGCAGCTCCACGAACAGCACACTAACAGGGCTCTGTTACCTTGTCTCAGTGTTTCCAGACCAAATTTGCTGTTTACAAGTAAAAAAGTGTTGTTTCCCTGTTACCAGCCCTTCAAGCAAGATAAATGTACCAGAAAGAACCTATCACCAATAATAATGCATCGGCAATTCACACGCCACCCTCAATTACACCTGTGCAACCCCTTTGTCTTCAATGGGGTTGCACAAGCGAAGAGGCGGCCCAGGATTTGGCCCTGCTGTTGGAACGAAGTTAACAATTCTGTTGAGAATTCAAGCATGTTGAATAGCACCCAACTCACTTGCCCACGGCTGGATTGATTCAGCAGGGCGTGCAGGAGTCAAAAGGCAGTAGAAGTAGATCATCATCAAAAGTGCTTTGCTTACAATCACTTTTCATGACAGATCTTTAGTGAAAGGATTTAACTAATCTTGATTAAAATGCATCATTTAGATAAACATGTAAGAAAAAAGATGAAGACAAAAAAAATCTTAATATGATCAAATGTCACGTTGTTAGGGATGGTGGAATAAAGTGGCAAAACTAAGTGACAAACAACATCAGAGGCTGGAGCAGTTAGTTCCCCTTCCCCCTCTTCTCTCAAAGGCAAGGTTAAAAAGAAAGGTCCCATTTCTTACTTCTCTTGTCGTTCTGCCACCGCCAATCTGTCTGCATCAGGATCAGTGGCCAACACCACCCTAGCGCTTTCTTTCTCTGCAAGCCTCAGAGACAGCTCCTGAAAAAGGCGATTGAGCCATTATATGCAGATAGTCAAATTCATTTGTAGTCCTCAAGTGTATTAACTCTGCTGAAATTCCACACACCCAGGTCTCTGACTTTATTACGTTAACATTTCAAAACAAGTGGAAACCCAACTAAAAACCAAAGTGACTGAACTAAAGAAATAAATACCAGCACACATTCTCCTTCTTCAGGATTTGGGCATTTAACAGTTGAAAAATCTGGATCTGGATCCTTTTGTTCAGGTACTGGAATGGGAGGCTTAAAGCCAAATGCTTTAAATGCCAACTGGACATAGTCATGACCAACGCCATGGAAAGATGTATGAATGAACTTCAAGTTGGTCTTTGTGTTCAGTTCCCTGAAAAAGAAAAGCAGCCTTCAATTAACATTATAGGTTATTTCACAACATGCTGCGACATCATGAACCATGGTGAAATGCCAAGACAAGGCGACTGAAGTTTACAGTAAAGCTGCCTTTCTGCAGATGTCTAATGTGTCTTCAAAGAAAGTGTGAAAAAGGAAAGTTTCAACTGTAGGCATTCAATAAAGATTGCTGGCTCAATTCTTCCTCACTCTGGAAACTTGGATCTTTACTCTACCTCTGCTACTTGGAAGTTCCTAAAAATGAGACATTTACTTCCCTCTGCATCAGACTCGGGCTCTTTATCGGAAAGAGTGATCAGCCTGCTGTGCCTGGCAAAAGCAGAAGGCAAGGGCTAAATCACCTCGTTTAAGGTAATGAAATCACCTACATATGGGGCAAAAAAATGTATCACAGAAAAGATGTATAAAATCCCCTTAATTTAGTCCATCCTTTACCCCCACTCCAAGTTGATTGCATATAGTACTTTTCCAACCCTTATTTTTAAAGTTTGACCTACATTTGTCATTGCTGGTCAGAAACCATTACACTTTGACAAGTTTCTGAAGTGAACCCTGCATTAGAGTGTGGGAGTTAAGTTATATACTTCTCATACAGCACCTGTGATAGCAGATCTTTTTCAGGTCTTCCATATAGATTTTAGAAATTTCCTCCAGAGGATCTCGTGTAAGAGGACTGGTGTCTACTAGATTCTCATTCCAGGAACCATTCCATGGTTCAACACATTCTTCTATACATTTCAGGATCTCTTTGTCATGAGGAGATGTGATCTGAGCTCCATTTTCCCAATAAACCTGGCATAAAAAAACCTGACACTTAGAACTGCATGTTACATGGATGAAATTGACCCATTATAAAGCCACATGATCTTATGGTTACATAACATCCTATAGTAAGCAAGAAACGTGTAGCAAATCACAGTATCAGACTAGTTTAGTTCTCTAGAACTTTTTTGGAATCACTCAGGCCAAAAGTTTTCAAGTATCTAACTTTAGGTATGTAAATTCATAATTAGGTGACCTGATTTCAAAGGCCCCGCAGTGAAATCAGACTATGGATGCCTAAAGTCAGGTACCTATGTTTTAAAATATTAACCTCAAAGTCTTGCATGAAGAAAGCCAACTACCACTTTTATAAAATCCTACTTCCTTTAAAAAAAGCGCAGCAACTTCAGGCTCCCTCCACGCACTGGCAGGCTTTGGTTCCAGGCTCTGGCCCCAGGCGCACCAGCCCTGCCACTGTCCCTCGGTCTCGCTCCTCCCTGCCCGCCTCCCTATCCAGGGCTTAATCTGTCCCAGGGTTTGCCGGGGCTGAGTAAGTCTGCTGTGAAAAGTGATATTAACAAATGTACAAAGATCACTTTTCACAGCAGAAGACTTACAAGCTAGCAAGTCTTAGAAGGAAAAAAAAAAAAAGCGCAACCTAAAAAGCAAGAGAAACAATAAAAAGACAAGAACATGCAAAGCACCTTATTTGTGTTTCTATTCTGTTTAGGCCCGTAAAGGAGAGAGACAACTGTAAATTATTTTTACTACCCTACATAAATAGATTACAATGATTTGGACATGTGCATATTTATTTGTTTTTCCTAAAAAGTTAATTAAGAATTTTAGGAAAAATTGTCAGCGCGGCCACCAGCAAGAGTTGGTGGCCACACTCTGAGGCCATCAAAATATGTGTTGTGAGAACCCTTGATCAAGGGGACATACAGTGTATACTTGGTAAATCAACTTATTTGTCACAAATTTAAAAAAAAAAAAAAAAAAAAAAGCACAGGGCTTACCTTGTAACCATTGTCCTCCTTACGGTTATGGGATGCTGTGATCATCACACCAGCTGCAGCTTTGAGCTGACGAACGGCATAGGGCTGAAAGACAAAAGCAACTTAAGTTCACTGCTTCTGAGCAGACATAAATACATAAAGGTATAAAGTCAGTTAAGGGGTAAGTAAAACAGGTTCTTAAAATTTCACAAGCTGATTTCAAAGGTATCATTTGAGCAGTCGGAAAACCAGCTCACTGTGTGTCCTGTTATCAGCAATGTGTTGTGCAAGAGAAAGCATGATCAGAGTTACTCTGCTAAATTAATATTAAACTTCCAAAACAGATAATCTCCTGGAAGTACTCCCAAGCACAAAACTTTTTAATGTCTTATGGTGAAGAAAAGCCTCCACTTAGATTGCACATATTGGAGGAGGACAGAAAAGACTGCAGCAACTATCAAGAAGTCAGAAACCATTCATATCCATGAAGGACTTCACCAAAATATTTGGTAAGCTAATACATACAGCTAAAAAGAGATTTTAAAAGTTATAGAAATGAAAGTCCACAATCCAGAAGGCAGAGATAAGCCATCCATCATGGATCAATAGTAATTTTGTTCTTCAGTATGGAGGAATTAATTCACAGGTTCTCAAACTGCAGTCCACGGTATTCAGGTGGTCCGCAGATAGTTCCCTCTAAGGTGTGCGCCTGGGCAGCTGCACATGAGAGAAAAAAGGGCCACCCACCTAATTAGTGGAGCTACACAGGCATGGCTCCACTAATTAGATGCCTGCACCCTGGAGAAGACGCACATGTAAGGTAAGGTGGCCTTGGTGGAATAGAGGGTAGGTGGGAGGGGGCGGTGGGGTGAGAAGAGGGGGTGGGGAGAATTTGGGACAGGCAGGGCTGTGGCACTCAGAACGAGGCAACTTTCCCCAGCTCCAGGGCTGCGGCTGCTGGGGAGAGACCCCCCCCCCTCTTCCCAGCCCCAGCTTAGGGGCTGCCACGGCTGGGGAGAAAGGGAGAGACCCCCCTCCTTCCCTGCCCCAGCTCTGAGGCTGCCGCAGTGGGGGAGAGAGAGGGAGAGACCCCCCCTCCCTCCCAACCCCAGCTTGGGGGCTACCACAGCTGGGGAGAGAGAGCAAATCCATCTCATTAGAAAGGTAAGACTACTGATATTAAAATATGAGTTGTGTGCTTTTATTTGTAGAACAAAAGAAGCTTTTATTATTAAGCTTTTTTAATTAGGGCTTTTATCCAAAGTGCTTTATAATAGTTAGCTAACGGTACAAATATCATTTGGAAAGATCACTAAATGGTCCTCCGAGACCCTCAGCAATTTTCAAGTGGTCTGGGGAGAAAAAAAAGTTTGAGAACCTCTGAATTGATAATACCAAGGTTACAGATGCTTGTGGTTGCTACCACCTGTGTAACATAAATTCAATATACTAGGAATGGAGTTCATAAAAACACACTAGCAAAATTCAGGAAACTGAGAAACCTAATGGGAATATTAGTACCCATAGTACTAGTCATACTCACAATCTGGGGCCCAGTCACTAAAATGACAGTCACATTACAAATGCTGATCCAAGTGGAAGCCCCAGTGCAGAAGATATTTAGAAGTTTAAAAGGAAAAATACACTGCAGTGAACAATCCTTCATTTCCTCTACCAACCCCTCGGAAGAGTCTACAGGTCCCAATCCTGAGAATGCTCAAACACAAGTAGACCCATTGAACTCAGTAGAACTACTTATGTGTGTAATAATTTGTACAATAAAGGTATAAGGGACCTGTTTTCCATCTTGAATTATGGGCCAAATTTTGCTCAGTTATACATTTCTCACTGCAGTAACTACTTAAAATCAATGGAGTTACTATGGATTTAATACTAGTGTAACAAAACCGAATTCAGCCCTATGATTTCTTAAGTCTTCCTAAGGAGTGTTTAGACATGAAATTAGACTAAGGTTTCTAACCATCAGAGGAGTGAAGTTCTTGAAAAGCCTTCAAAGGGGAGCAATGGGGACATATCTAGCTTCAAGACTAAGCTTGATAAGTTTATGGAGGAGATGGTATGATGGAATAGCCTAATTTTTGCAATTAATTGATCTTTGACTATTAGCGGTAAATATGCCCAATGGCCTGTGATGGGATGTTAGATGGGGTAGGATCTGAGTTACTACAGAGAATTCTTTCCTGGGTGTCTGACTGGTGAGTCTTGCCCACATGCTCAGGGTTTAGCCATATTTGGGGTCGGGAAGGAATTTTCCTCCAGGGCAGATTGGCAGAGGCCCTGGGAGTTTTTCGCCTTCCTCTGCAGCGTGGGGCACGGGTCACTTGCTGGAGGATTCTCTGCATCTTGAAGTCTTTAAACCATGATTTGAGGACTTCAATGGCTCAGACATAGGTTAGGGGTTTGTTACAGGAGTGGGTGGGTGAGATTCTGTGGCCTACGCTGAGCAGGAGGTCGGACTAGACTATCATAATGGTCCCTTCTGACCTTAAAGTCTATGATTCTATGAAATGTTCCACTTCTAGCCTATTCTTCCATTTACATTCTGGCATTCTGAAAAGAATAATATTTAGCTAAAATTAAGATGACAGCTTTGATGAAATGCTAAAAACATTAGCTGTGTTAGAATGAATGAAGTGTGAAAGACTTACCACAAAGGGCGTAGGAACGTATTTTGAAAACAAGTACACAGGTACACCTTTCGCAAGCAGGACTGCTGCAGTAAGCTTTGCAAGTCTATTGAACAGGAAAAATATTCAGTGAATCAGGGGAGGGATAGCTCAGAGGTTTGGGCATTGGCCTGCTAAATTCAGGGCTGTGAGTTCAATCCTTGAGGGGGCCATTTAGGGAACTGGGGTAAAAAAAAAAATCTGTCTGGGGATTGGTCCTGTTGTGAGCAGGGGATTGGACTAGATGATCTCCTGAGGTCCCTTCCAACCCTGATATTCTATGATTCTATTATCCACAATACTGTTCTAAAAGCCCCAATCCAAAGAACAAGTTCTTTTTCTGCCTTCTCTCAAGATGTTCTTATTATAGAATCATAGAAATGTAGGGCTGGAAGGGACCTTGAAAGGTCATCTAGTCCAGCCCCCCTACATTGGGGCAGGACTAAGTATACCTAGCTAACCCTGACAGGTGCTTTGTCTAACCTGTTCTTAAAAAGCTCAAGTGACAGTGAGTGTCTAAGGAGCTGCTAGAGAGACAAGGCAGGTGGGGTAATATATCTTTATCAGACCAACTTCTATTGGTGAAAGAGACCAGCTTTTGAGCTTATACAGAGCTCTTCTTCGGGTCTGGGAAAGGTACTGTCACAGCTCAACACAAGATAGAATAGACTGTTTCACATAAGAGAGTTAGGGTAAAGTGGGCAGTTAACACCTCAAAAGAACACCCAACAAAAGAGGGCTGGTTAGTAGGTTACAGATTGTAGTAATAAACCATTCATCCAGTGTCTTTATTCAGTCCATGATTACTCTTGTCTAGCAAAGTTATGAATTTAAGCTCCCAGGCTTAAATTTTGAAGGTGTTGTGACGGTTTATTTTGAGGAGGACAACTGATAGGTCAGATATAGAATGATCATTTTGTGACAAGCGACAAAGGGTCCTGTGGCACCTTATAGACTGACAGACCTATTGGAACATAAGCTTTTGTGGGTGAATACCCACTTCGTCAGACGCATTTTGTGGCAATTGTTCACCCACAGGTGATATGGTGTTTTTGTCTTAACATTTTTCAGCATGAGTTCATTCGAAAAAGTACTTGTCTGGTTTCACCCATGTAGTTGCTGTTGGGGCATTTAGTGCACTGGATGAGATATACCATGTTGTGAAAGACATGTGAAGGACTCATGGATCTTGAAAGGTGTGTTTTGGGGGTGGGGGAGCAGAGAAGAGAATTGATTGTTGTAGGAATGGAGATACGTCTACAGGTTTTGCATCTGTTCTGTCAGTGTCTAATGCCACTTTGAGATGATGTGTCTCGGTCTGTGGGGAGCTTGCTTCTGATGAGCTTAGCAAGGTTGGGGGTGGGGGTTGATTGAAGGCCAGAAAAGGGGGTTTGAGAAAGATTTCTTTCAGGATGTGGTCATCATCAAGTATGGGCTGCAACTCTTTGATGATACACTGTGTGGGGTGGGAGGTGACAACTCAGAGCGTAGGTGCCGACTCCATAGGTGCTCCGGGGCTGGAGCACCCACAGAGAAAAATTAGTGGGTGCTCTGCACCCACCGGCAGCCAATCTCCCCCTCCTCCCCTGAGCATGCCACGTCCCTGCTCCTCCACCTACTTCCCAGCGCGTCCTGCCTTGCTGCTGCCAAACAGCTGTTTGGCAGTGTGCTAGGAGGGAGGGGGGAGGAGGTGGCGCCAGGGGCAGAGGGAGGGGTCGAGCACCCACCAGTGGGAGCAGAAGTCGGCGCCTATGACTCAGAGGGATATGGTCTGAGGGTTTTTCCCATATCAAAGTAGGTTCCCATAGACTATTTGGGTGGCCTGTTCCATGATGCTATCTACTTCTCTGGTGGAGTGTCCTCATGTGACGGGGTCCTGGGGTGCAACCTAGATTGCAGGACCACTGATGTCCTCCAAACCCACCAAGCTGGGTTGCCACTCACACTGTGATGCTGATGTCAAGCTACAAACTTCTGAAAGGCACTGCACTTACACAGACATCCACTGGCACACCCAACTACTGTGTTACACGAATGATCTCACAGCCACTCATGAACCAATAGAGAGGCGCCAGCCAATTCCCCCCAGCTCCAGCTCTACACCCCAGAACCTTACCATCTAACAATTAGTTTGCCACTTCTTCATAGGAAAGGGGACATGCACCAGCCTTTGTAATCTGAGCCAATTTCCCAAGCACTTTAGACAAACTCATTGCTAGGGATAAAACATTAAAATAAGTTTATTAACTACAGAAAGATAGCTTTTAAGTGATTATAAGCGGTAGGCATAAAAGGTCAGAAATGGTTACCTTAAAAAATAAATAAACATGCTTTCTAAAACGCTCAACTTTTAGTCTAAGCAAGTGTTGAAGCAAACAGCTTCTCACCTTGAGAGATGGTACAAGCAGGTTACAGTTCCTCAATACACAGGCTGGGACTACCTTCCAGCCTGGAACCAAATTTCCCCAGTTCCAAGTCTTTGTCCTTCAGACGTTCTTCCAGGTGTTGAGTTGGGGAGGTTAGAGAGAGGCCAAGTGATGTCACTGTCTCTCTTTCATACTTTCTTCCAGCTTGCTGGAATGATCTTTGCTGTGACGTGGATTAGCCCACTCCCATGGCGTACATGCCTTCTCCGAGAAGTCTTAGGATAATGGATTGTGTGTTGATGAGCCATTAATGCTGTCTGGCTATTGATGGCTTCTCCTTTGTTATAATAAAGGCTGGCTTTGGGTGTTCCCAACCTCACAACATATGTCAGTAACATATATAGTAATACTTCATAAATTCACATACAATGATAGTACATACAACCCAACAGTTATTATTATTCAACAGATCAAGATTTACAAAATGATATCTCACAAGGCATACTTTGTACAAAACACACCATAATATCACAGTGGTGAATATGGGGGTTCCAGGGTGATACTTTGAGGTACAGAGTGTCATATCTTGTTTGAAGAAGGTGGTTTAAGGGCGTGTATTGGACTTTCTCCTTGGAGCATATTTTGGGGTACCAGAGTACCTGGCTGTAGGTAACAATTCTTGGTGTGGGGGGATGGTTATTAGATCTGTGAAGGTAAGTGTGGTGATCCATAGGTTTCTTGTATATAGTGTTTGTAGGGTTCCATTGCTGAAGTTGATCATGGTGTCCAGGAAGTTGACGCTGCTTTGGGAACGTTGTAGAGAGTTTGATAGATGGTTGTTGAAGTTATGGTGGAAATTTAGGTCAGCTGTCCAGAGGATGAACACATCATCAATGTATCTCAAGTATACAATTGGTTTCATGGTGCATTTGTCCAGAAATTCTTCCTTGAGGTGACCCATTATGTGGCTGGCATATTTGGGAGCCATCCCAGTACCCATGGTTTGAACAAAGTGTCTCTCATAGACTCTAAGGTCAGAAGGGACCATTATGATCATCTAGTCTGACCTCCCGCATGATCCGGGCCACAAAAGTGACCCACCCACTCCTGGAATAATTCTCTCCCTTGACTCAGCTGCTGAAGTCCCCAAATCATGATTTAAAGACTTCAAATCGCAGAGAATCCTCCAGCAAGCGACCCCTGCCCCATGCTGCGGAGGAAGGCGAAAAACCTCCAGGGCCTCTGCCAATCTACCCTGGAGGAAAATTCCTTCTCGACCCCAAATATGGCGATCAGCTGAACCCCGAGCATGCAGGCAAGATTCTCTAGCCAGACCCTCTGGAAAAAGTTCTCTGTAGTAACTTTTAATATCCCATCATTGACCATTGTTACTAATGACTAGCGATGGCACGTTATTGACCTATTGACTAAAATCACTTTATCCCATCAAACCATCCCCTCCATAAACTTATTAAGTTTAATCTTAAAGCCAGAGAGGTCTTTTGCCCCCACTGTTTCCCTCGGAAGGCTGCTCCAAAACTTCACCCCTCTGATGGTTAGAAACCTTCGTCTAATTTCAAGCCTAAACTTCCCGACGGCCAGTTTATATCCATTTGTTCTCGTGTCCACATTAGTACTGAGCTGAAATTATTCCTCTGCCTCCCTGGTATTTATCCCTCTGATATATTTAAAGAGAGTAATCATATCCCCCCCTCAGCCTTCTTTTGGTTAAGGTAAACAAACCAAGCTCCTCGAGTCTCCTTTCATACGGCAGATTTTTCCATTCCTCGGATCATCCTAGTAGCCCTTCTTTGTACCCATTCCAGTTTGATTTCATCCTTTTTAAACATGGGAGACCAGAACTGCACACAGTACTCCAAATGAGGACTCACCAGTGCCTTGTATAACGGAACCAGCACCTCCTTATCCCTACTAGAAATACCTCGCCTAATGCATCCCAAGACCGCATTAGCTTTTTTCATGGCCACGTCACATTGCCGACTCATAGTCATCCTGCGATCAACCAGGACTCCGAGGTCCTTCTCCTCTTCCGTTACATCCAACTGATGCGTCCCCAGCTTACAACTAAAATTCTTGTAAGTGAGGATGAAATGGATAAGTTTGGCAATGTGTTTGAGGTGGATATCTGAGAGTGGTTCATTGGTCTTGCAGATATTTGAGGCAGGCAGCAATGCAATCAGGGTTACAGATGTTGATGGATAGGAGGTGACATCCATGGTGACACGGACAGTGTTGTGAAGGAGGTTGTTAATGTTATGGAGCTTCTGGTGGAAGTTGGTGTGTCCTGGATAAAACCGGCCCTTTGTGTGGTGAACTGTTTGAGGATGTTTTTTGAGAGTCCTGATATTCCTTCAGTAAGAGTGTTGTAGCCAGATAAGATGGATCTGCCTGGGTTTCCTTATTTATGTATCTTGGGAAGCATGTAATAGGTCCCTGGAGGGGAAAGGGTTCTCGAACGATGAGGCTGTAGAGATTCCCTTGGAGTGGTTTGGGGAAGGAAGGATTTAATGACATCCTTAAACTCCTGGGTGAATAGTAGTGTGCAATCTTCTTTGATTTCTTTATAGTAGGTGACATCAGAGTTGTCGGTTGGCCTTGTTGATGTAGGTCATTGAGGTTGAGGATTACAATAGCACCTCTTATCTACTGACTTGATCACTATCTTGTGGTTGGATTTCATGGATTGTATAGTTATCCTCTCAGCAGTGGAGAGATTGTGGTGGATATATGACATTATTGTAACCCTCACTTCACTGGTCTCCCACTTCTGTCCACTGTTTGATCTTTTCACTAACTGCGACATGCCTATAATTAGATTGTAAACTCTTTGAAGCAGTGTTTTGTCATTTTATTTGCTTGTAAAGCGCCTTGCAATCAACATCAGTCAAAAGACAAAGGTTCAAAGCCTCCGGTTGTTTGAGAACCATATCTGATCACAGAAGCACAAATCTAAGTTCCATGGTACACGTTTCAAAAACGCCAAATTCCTACAACAAAAGCCTTTCGAGGGGTAAAAATAGATCTTGGTAACCAACAGAGGTTGGTGGTTTTTAATGCTGTTCAGCAGTTTCAGATGATTCCGATAAAGTAGATCAATATACTATTCCCAAAATAAACTTCAATAGGCCAGCAATCACCTTATTCCAATCAGTCTAAAAACAGCTACAGAAATTCACACAGTCATTAGCTTTACTGCCAGACAGACAGAACTTACTTTAAAATAATCCTTTCATTAGGGCTAGCGGGAACTTTAGTTCAATTTCATCAAACAGTTTCTTGTCTTTGAAACAACAACAACTTCACAGGTATTTATAACCAGAAAATTATTTGCACTTTGATCATTAAAAATGATGGGAGGGGACTCATTGTAAGTGAACAAACAGGCTATGAAAATTAAAGATCCATACATACCATGTTTACTTTGTTCACTTTTTTGACAGTGAAGTGTAATTTAATTTTTTAAACACATGATAGTGTAATAGTAAGGTACTGTAACATACTGAAAAGCAAGAGTCCCAGTAATATGATCAAGTGAGAATTAATGATGTTACAGGAATTCTCTCTCTGCATTTCAAACCATCTATTACCCAAGTTAAAAAAAAGGCAAGGATACTAAATCAGTTTTTTTAAAGTAGTCTACCAGCCTGACTGAGCTATTTTAGTAAAATCAGCAGCATTAAGCACCTTTATATTTGTAGAAGTTTGGATTTTTTTTAAGCATGAAATTAGAAAAGACTCCTCATTTGTGTGACTGTGTTAATGGCTGCATACTGCCGAGACAAATCAGTGTATGATGCTACAAGAGGTATCACAATAGTTACAAAGGGTTCAAGGAGGAATTACTCCTTTTCCACGTGAAAGTTTAAATCAGATGTGTAGTTTGACAGAGTTAGGACTACAGTTTTGCAATAAAACTCAATACAGACACACTGATAACCAGTCGTGCAGTTTTTTGATGTATTCAAGTTAAGGGCTTAGTATTGTAAGTTTCCTTTCACACTTAAGTCTCACACACATAGTGATTTCTGCATCATGTGACTTTCTTGCTGTTTAGAGTGCTTGTGCATTTACATGGTATACTCTTTTGGGACAAGGACTGTCTTTGTTATGGGTCTGTACAGCGCCTAGCACTAGGGGTCCATGATTAGGACTCTTAGGCACTACGGAAATATAAATAGAGAATACACTAAATTCCTGATAAATTCCCCATATGAAGAGAAACATTCTAAGCCACACTTAAAATTCTAGTCTTTCAAATGGAATCAATCCTCATACCTCTTACTGCTGCAGCTGCTGGTCACCTGACCTCGCGTGTCATATCCAACAACGAAGCCTCTCTGCCTGAAGTCTGAAAAACACCTTTCAAGGTATTTGTACATTCCCTGCAGCAAAACAGAAGCATGAAGATTTAGGTTCATGATAGTGCACACAGCTTAAAGATTACTCTGTTTAGAATTCATTATGCCACAATAATGGGAATAAGACTTGCTTCACTAGAGCTGGGTTAATGATAAAAAATGAGCATGAATAAGCATTGGTTCAAATAGACAGAAAATCTGCTTTAATGGCGTTTGCAGTACAAGTACATTTTTGTTCCTAGAGTGTTCACAGGAAGAGAAAGGTTGCAAATACCCATGAGAATCTAGTCAGGGAGCAGAAACAGATGACCAGACAGAACGGACAGAAAATTAGGTAACAAATCCTTGAAGCAGCAAATACTTGAGATTAATCCACAGGATGAAACATGCTCAAACCATCTGTCAGATAATTGTAAATAATGAACCAATTCATAAAAGAAAAATCTGAATAATTCACACACACAAAAGGGCTACCTTTGTTATACAAGTAGTTCACTTAAGTCTTCCTGCTTGTGTTTAGAGCACAATCTACGGAACAGAATATGTACTAGTTCTCACTTCTTATCTAAAGTAAATTATCCTTTCAACACTGCACATTACTTTAGAAAATGTGACTCCATATACAACAGTCTTTCATTACAAGTGAATTTACACACCTACCCCAATGGTGAAGCAGTTATCTCATAAGTGTATTTAGTTCACCCTGTTTATCTTTAATAGGATATTTACTACTGATAATGCTAACATTAAAAATATGTCTAGCATGGTCTGAATATTAAGTTATTTACTATTTAGATATTAGAAGTGGTTTATGGCAATTCTTGCTATGTAGCAAATGTATCTAGGAGCACTGATGCATCCAGTAAGCACCATTTTGATCCCCAGTGGTGAGAGAGGCCCTCTCTTAAAATGAAAATCTGCCAATTCCAAAGTGTTTTCAATAACGTCACCATCTTATTGGATCTAGCTTGAACCAACTGCTTTTCTCAAAACTTCCAGTTTCCTTCAGACAGTGGAGGATATGGGAGATGGCACTGCCTGCACTAGAAGACAGAATGGTTACTTACCTTATAGTAACTGTGGTTCTTCAAGATGTCAGCTAAGATGCATCTCCAATTCTAAATGACTGATGAGCAGAGGCCCATTTGGAAGATGGGATTGAGGAGTCCTGCTTGCCACTAACTGCCTTACAAAATTCAGGTATGTGGATGTTTCTAAAGCACACTTTAGTGGAATAAGCTTTGATACCAGCCATGTGATAGCAGCCTGAAATTCACTGTAATCCACTTAGGTTCAGATATTATCTCGGAAACTACTTGTCCCTTAGAAGCACGAGAAATGGCAACAACAAACAACAAAAGACAGGAAGTGTCTGAAGGGCTCTGTCCTATCACAGGCCTAAAAACAAACATCTAAAGTGGGGGAATTTCTTCTCCACTGGAGAGGAATGGGGTTTTGGAATGAAGACAGGTAGATTGGTTCAAATAAGTGTGACATGTTCAGAAATAAATTTGGGATGAGGTCTCAACAACCACCTTATCTTTACAGAATATTGTGTGAAGGGTCAGCCATGACAGCTTGTAATTCGGTGGCGGGGGGTGGCGGGTTAATTTGAAGGATCAGCAGTTGACTCCTGGAGAGAGGGAGAGAAGATTCTTTGGGTGGCTTCTGTGAGGAGAGGAAGCTCCACTAGGTTCTCTAAAGTGTAGAATGTCCCTTTCAGTGCAAGAACTAGAAAGGTTACTGACCATTGTTATGTCTAGTCAGGTTAAATAAATTTACTGTTTATCAAACCAAGCAGTTGGAAGTGTAGCCAGTTGGTGGGTTTTGGAAGGGAGTTGCAAGGCCCTTGAAAACAGAATTAGGATAAACAGCCAAGATAGACACGTATCCTGAGAAGACTAGAGAGGTTAAATGGCTGCACTAGTGATCCACAGACCCTGATAAATATGGTGTGCACCCAGGAAGGGGCAGGTCATGACAAGAAGGTTTTATGTGTAGCCTCATGCCCTTTTGGGATGCAGGTCCTTGTATATGGAGGTGGTCCAGGTATGCACTGCACCCTGTTCCTGATGCAGCTGTGATCAATGTCTTTGTAGGCAGTAGTGTGGAGAAGGGTACCAGCTGGTTTGACCGCCTGTTTGGTACGGACAGACTGGGAGCCCAGAGTAGAACTGGCATGCTTATTTGATGTTTTGCAGTGTGATACATTGACTTTAGCCAGCCTTTAATGCACATAGATGAAGTCTGCTTAGTAATGTCACATATGTGCAAGCTAACATGTGGCTCAGAAGTTTGTGGCAGGTTTATTCTGTGGTGTCAATCATCTGGATAGAGCAAAATCTATACTTGGGAAAATATATTTTTGCTGATTTTGAATAGATTGACGTTTCTAAAAACTGATATGCAGAGAGATTTTTCATAGTTTACCATGTGGCTCAGCTGTCGGAATTCAGCCAATCATCCAGATATGGAAAACGTGAATGTCATCTCTCCTTACATGTGCTGCCACAACAATTAGGCATTTTATAAAAATAATTTACTGTGAAGAGACCAAATGGCAGCACTTCGTATTGGTAATGACTGGGCCCTACTGTGAATTGTAGATGATCTACCATGGGTTGGATGGATTGAGATATGAAAGTGAGTGTCATGGAGGCAGAGAGCCACAAACCAGTCTTGAGTATGAAGAGAACATATGGTGGAAAACATTAGCATTCTGAATCACAAAACTGGATCAGACAAGGCTCCCCTTTCTTCTTTGGAATAAGGAAATCTCAAGAACAGAAAACGTCCACTGAATTCCAAAAATGTACCTCTCCTAGAGGAATCAGAGAAGCCATTTTTAGTTTATTTTCATCAGAAGGGTCCCTGAAGAGGGATAGGTAGGAGGCAAGGATCAAACTGGATGGAATAGTCCTATGAGACAACTTTCAGCACTTCTTTTACTGCAGACCAAGCCTGATGGAAGAAAGCAAGCCAATATCCAAAAAAGATAGGATTTGGGGATTGCTTGTCTGATAGGTATCAAACCTGCAGTCTGAAAAGCAGATGAAAGTTAACCAGAAACTCAGAAAGATGGTTTCCTCCAAGAGAAGTTCTACTTCTTTCCAGGTGGGTATGCAGAAAACCATTGCTAAGGGTATGCAGGTGTCTTCTATATAGATTGCCCTTGGTATTTAAAAGCTTGCAATTTGGGGTAGAGATGTAGATCCCCAATGAGCAAAGTGTAGCCCTGGTGCCTTTTAAGAAATGTAACTTCATCTGTATGTGCACACAAGGGTCTGTGCTCTTAAAGGGTTAGTCCTCAACTGTATTTTGCTGCTCCCAAGGGATTCCAGAGGTCTGTAACCATGATTTTCTGCACATAAGTCTCCACCATGATCAGGGATCTATGGCTGCCTGTACAGATACTTTTGCCACAAGCTGGCCTTCAGCAATGATGGCTTTTAACTCTGGATTCCTGAAGTTCAGCCAAGAAGGGGATACAGTTATCTGATTTAGGATAGGGTATTTTGTAAATACGGCTTGATAACTGATGACCAAATTGAGTGTTGCTGACAAATAAGCCTCTCTTTCAATGACAGCTAATTTCTTTGGGTGCTTGCACACTGGTCTTGTCCTGGACTGCAGAGACCTCTAAAGAATCCAGTGTTGGACAGATGCTCCAACCATTTTGTGGTATTTGATACTTCATTTCTGCTCTTAGTTGGTGGTGGTAAAATTGCTGGTATCTGCCACAGGGGTCTAGGTTGGTTCTAAGATGCCCTCATTAATTCACAGTGCTATTCTTGCAGGAGTGGAAGAATACAGTATTTCAAAAAGCTCACAAGTTTTTGCTTCAATTACTGGGTCTCTATTTTGAGTGTCTCTGCAACATGAGGGTAGCAGCTTCATGCTCTAAAGTCATCAGAAGTCAGTCCAGGAGTTGAAGAAACTTGTCAGGAGAGGACAGCGATGGGTCTCTGGGAGAAGATTAAGGGTGTCGCTCAGGATGCTTTAGACCTGTCTGTTCCTCCAGCAGAAGGGGAGTGTGACCTCTATTTGCTGACATGGTAGGAGGGAGATTGCCTCCTGGCTGCTCTAGACTGAGATCCCCAGTATATGCCTATGGCTAAGGTGGAGCATTGTAGGGACAAAGCTGGTTCTGGTAAGGCTGACCAGGCCATTACCATGGCTAAGGCAGATGAGTCAAAGCTCTGGAGTGTCCCTGTATTTAGGCAGAGACCTTCCCTTGTGCTTTAGGATTGAAGAGAAGACTCCCTGCTAGACAGCAGAGAGAAGGTGTGTCCCTGGTGATGGAGATGAGCAATAAGCTTCCTCCAGAGGTAGTGCCAATCTTTGAGGTGACTTCTGTATCATAATGCTGGAGAGGCAAGTGTAGTGTCATCGGTGCTAAGGGCGATGTCAGAGACATGACAAACATCCTCTAACACTGGATTAGCTGGTACCATTAATGCTTCCATTGTCTGTACTGGTGACAGTACAATGTCTATGCAGGTGCCAATGGCTAACTGCCACTAGTATTGTCAAGTGTAGGCACCAAGTAACTTGTGCCTCTTCAATGGTGAGCTGGAGATAGAGCCAGTATCCTCTGCCCCTATTGAACAAGCAGGATTAGTGCTCTGTATCTCGGAGGAGAGCAAGGGTTTGAACTTCTTGTGGGAAGCATGGGATCAGTGCAAGGAGCCATATCTATCCAATGTTCAGATTTCCCTTGCCTCGGTGAGGTGGTGGTACTGGTCCTCTATGCTCGAGTGGCTGTTGGTACCAAGGTGGTCTTCAGAGGTCCCATATCAGGGCACAGAAGAGATCAGATCCATTCTGGAGTCTGGAGTCTCCTTCCTTGGAGGTTTTTAAGGCCCGGCTTGACAAAGCCCTGGCTGGGATGATTTAGCTGGGAATTGGTCCTGCTTTGAGCAGGGGGTTGGACTAGATGACCTCTTGAGGTCCCTTCCAACTCTGATATTCTATGATTCTATGCTTTGGAGGTTGATCCTTGCGCGTGTCTGAATTCCCTTATTGATTGTTTGAGAAAGCATAGCTTAAGCTGAGTGTCCCGAGACTCTGCTGCTTGGTGTAACACGGTTCCTTTTCAACCAGGACAATCTGGCACATGGCTCTCACCAAGATAAAGACAGTTGCTGTGGCAGTCTGTAATAGGAATGAGTCCTTGGCAGAACAGACACTGTTTGAAACCAAAGGATTTTGAATGTACCATTTTAGGCCCAGACAGGGATGCAAAGAGCTGAGGAAAAGTTTTAAATTTAAATCTTTCGTGGGGTTTTTTGGTAACTCAAATCAAAGAGTGAGCTATTTGAAGGGAATTAATCCCAATTTATGAGAGTAATTCTGCTAAGGGGTTTTGGACGGACACAGCTTGTTCCATCTTACCGCCACAGGTGGTAAGAGAAGAGAGGGATAGCTGCAGCTGCTCTGCCCTTAAAGTAACATTCATGGCCAGGCATGGCCCAATTGACACTGCTATTCACAGATCCCAATCTCGTCCACATAATGTGCAGGTGCACCTAGACTGGGATTCACACAAACACACACACTAAGAAGAAAGTTATGGTCTTTCTGCATACTGATGGAATCGTAGGCCACGACATCTCAGTCACGCTCTGAAGCTTCACAAATGCTGAATAGAAGCAATGTCAAGATTGAGCCCCATTCGACTTCCGTAAAGGATTTTCACTTAGCTGTGAAGGGGGTGATCATGACCCACTGGAAATTGTCAAAGAGAAATGAGCAAAGCTAATTTAAACCTGACTCCATCCACCCAAACGAGATCACAT